CCCCCCCCCCCCCCCCCTCAGACAGGAAGGTTGGAGATAGAGCTGCCTTCGGCAGGTGGACTTCCAGATGTCAGCGACCCCCCCAGCGATCGGCACGCTCGTACATGCTTTGCCCAACATAACTCAGGGAGCGGCGAACGCTAAAGGCCTGACTGTGCCAGAGCCATTAGCTCCTCTACCCACCAGATGACGTGGCGGTAAAGTTTGCCGCCCCGACCCCGTCTGGCCTCGTTTTCCAGCCGTGACGACGTAGCTGTGTGGAGCATCAGTCAACCTGCTGAAGCTGAGGGCACCTGTGTCCTCCTACGCAGAAAAAGCTAAACAAGTGTTGTTGATGTTTACCTCTGACTCTTTGTCGCTCAAAGATCCCAGACTTCCAAAACTATGATTTGAACATTCATTGTTGGTCAATCCCTGAAAAAAATTAATACAGTGAAGATAAATTTCCTTGATGTTGCGAAGACATTAAAACTCATAAATGAACTACACCCATGCAGTGGGGGCATCTAGCAGAGGTACTCACTTTGGTTCCCACACTTGTGCTGCAGGTGCTGCCCCCCGTGCTGCCACTGACCCCACCCATGAAACGTGCTTCGAGCAGCTCCTGTCTCCGGGGGTCCAGGCTGTGCAGCTCATCCATGGTGCCTGCATGAATGAGAGTTTTAAAGTTATTCAAAGATCGCCTCTGTTAAAGCCTCCTCTCAGTCAGGAGCAGATGACAAGAGGCACTGAGCTTCAGAGCAGAATCCTGTGACTTAAATCCCAACAGGTACTGGAGACTATTCATCCTCGTTCTTGAGGTGTAGTTCAAAACAAATTCAGTCTACTCTTTGTAATGCTGTTTGTGTTTAAACCTGCTATCTTAAACATACTATTAAAAATAATGGAAGAATCCTCTAAAAATTACACAGCTCAAAATACGACACACAGTTCTAAGCATTTCTCCACAAATACGTTCATCGTGAGTGTCCAAAAAGAATGTTTCCAATTGCTAGGTGATGTTGAATGCAGCGCTCCTGTGGGAATGATGCAGACGCTCCACGGGCTTCGATGTTGCTGCAGTCACAGAGGTGCCTGCACACTAAATCTGTGCTTTAATGAGACAACCATTTTGAAAGTCTAAAGAGCCTCAGCACTGTATGTAGGTAGGGATTATTAGAATCCATTTAGGAGGGGGAAACACAACGGAAAATATGTCTGGAACAAAGTAAAACTTAATATAAAGGCCACATTAAGCTGTATCTGGTTAACAGGAGGAAAAAAATATGCCATTCATGTGAAAAATGTTTTGTTCAAAACTATCAATTGCCTCAGATAAACTTGATTCTTCTGACTAACGGCAAGTTAGACCAGCAGAACGATACATTTCAGCAGTGTTACAGAAAAACTACAACAAAATGGTGATTTAAAAAAAAAAAAAAACTCAAACAGGGGTGCATCGATTGCTGTTTTCTGGCCGATCACGAAAACACCTGACCTGCCGATTCCGATTCTGTTCTATAAGCAACACTGTCAGGTGTTAAGGTCACAACGCACCTTCAATTTTCCAATTTTATTGAAAATCATACCTTGAACAATATCCTAGAAACAATACAAACTTGTTTTAACTTGCCATGAGGTAGTGCTCTGATAAATAAAGTTTAGACAATTGTTGTTAAAACTACAAACCCCACGGAAAAAAATCTGTAAAATGGGTTTCTCATGTAAGTACTGACCGATCTCAGATCACCCAAAATTAAGGACATCGGGGCCGATTTATCGGTGCACCCCTACCCTCAAACAATAAAAATCTGTTGTGATAAAGAAGTCAGTGCTTCATTTATGTTAATATCCTTTCTGGGCAGTCAATGTAGTAAAAACAAGCTACACAACAACAAACAAGAACTAGATTCAAGCCAGTAAGACCTGATCTGGTACACGAGTCCATGTTAACGCGGTCACATCAGATCTTCATGGCTTTGGTTCTAGTGTGTTTTTGTTTTTTTGTCTTGTGCAGCAAGTACCAGTAATGGACACAAGAAAAGAAGAAGTTACTGCCTGAGCAGCTGAAATGTATTTTTTCCATTCTTTAAAATACAAACACTACACAAGACAACTTAAAACATCGGTGTAACAGCTGTAACAGTGGACTTGTTAAATATTGACTTGCAATTATTTTCCTGAAAAGCACACAAGTTAAAATACTCCCGGAAGATTTTATTGCGAGTCGTGTCATCAAATCCTCTTTGTTTATCCCTACAACCTGCTCCAAAACCGCAAAATATCAAGTTCCACTTGTGTATAGATTAATTTTACTCATTTAAAAAAAATAAAGAATATTTTCATATCAGAGTCCAGAAAACTTACTAAAAGTTAAAGCTGATTTAATGAATTAAATTGATCAAAAACATTTTTTTTAAGACTACCGTTACAATGACATTTTAGGTCCTAATTTTAAATCTTTTAATACAAGTTTTTCTCTCTAATGAAATCCGTAAACAAGACGCAAGAAACACAGAGTGCCATCATACTGATAAAAAACTTGTAGTTAATAGTTCTCAAAATCAACATTTCATATTGTATTGATCAAAAATCAAATGTAATTTGTAAAACATGATGCAGAACACTAAATGGAACAAGGTGCGACTGATGTCTGGCACTGCACATGAAGTGTGTATTTAGTACTTATCGCACGTAAAATATATTATTGATTGCCTACAAACTGTCTAAAATTAAACTAAGAAAAGATAAGCGCTATACGTGACAATTACAATTTAATTTCCAGCTCCTCCAGGAGAAATCTGTGGAATTAGACACACTTATAAGGGTTTGATAACATTTTAATCATCAAATTCAGAAAATGTGGTGAAAATCTTTTGCCAACATCTCCTAATAACTTCCAAGAATCATATTAGCAGTCCCCAACGTTGAAAACAATCAAGGAACCATTCCTCCTCCTAATAACCAGCAACATACTGGTAAGCTTGTTGCATCTCTACATAACAGATCTACGACTTGCAATCAAATCTAGGGTAGAAAATCTGTGGAAACCTACACGACACCCACTTGGATTCTCTGCACATTGCATCTGAAACAACAGCAGCAGCTGATGAAGGCATTCACACCTTTAAGGGAAGTTTCAGAGAAGTCGGTTCTGCTCGCCTTTTGAGCAATCTTCATCTGATTTGGTTGCATTGCCGCAACTCGCATTTCAACCAGAAAGCTGGTGCCAGTTTCACACCACAGCAGCGTTTCTCAAGAATTTCCTTACGGTTTCCAACTCGAAGGCCTCGGTGCATAAATGTTATCTATTTTCAAGCCCCTGCACGAGCAAGAGGTTGAACCCTTACAGCTCTGGATGTCATTTTAACTCCATGCTGCTCAGCACAGTGACCACCTGTTTACAGCAGACACTGCGAGAGTTAACCCATTATCTGGCACAACTGGGTGGACTACTGGGTCCATTCATGGGCAGCCTGAACCCAGCCCTGAAACAAGCTCCCATTTATGATCAATGCAAGTGACAGACTGATGTAGGCAGCCATCATTTCTGTACAGTAAATCAGTACATGTTGTGCACTCTTGACAAGACAGTTTTCAAAAATATGAAAACTCCACAATGGCAATAATTAGACATATGTGCAGTTTATGCATGTTTTTCAGCGTGTTGCACAGGATGAACAGTTTTGCAAACTTACAGAGAAAAGGTCAAACAAGGCTTCCAACAATCTAGCATGTATACGAAGAGGATTATCTACATATAGGCTTCACATCACATGCATGTTTGCGTGTTATAAACACATTCGAGGCACATCTGTGCCCATAAGGTGGTAAATAACGCCACACACATCACGCTGTGTGTAAACACCACGACACAAAAGGTTTGCAAACGATGCGGTGCACACCTTACGTGACATGATCCCCTTCCATAAACTGCTGCTTTCTTTGTATTTACGGACTCGTTTTTGTGCAAATCTCGTTTTAAGTGTTAAAGACTATAGCGGGCATCTTGAAATAAGAGGATGCACCGACTGCAACCCTTACGTCTTTCGCACAGACTCATCGCCATGATGTTATTATCTGTGTAAAGGTTACTGCACTGGCCTGGGCACCAGGAGACGGTCCTGCTCGGTGCTACCAGCAGCTAACCGAACGGGCTCGAATGGACTTTGGAGCTGGCTCTAACCTTCGCTAACGAGCCGCTTTTTCTGCGGTACCAAGATTTGTTCGGTGGTGTGCGGCCGTTTCGCTTCGTTTCGCGCAAAATGGCCCAGACGAACCTGTAGAAAAGACATGTAGGTTTTAAGATGTTCCACGATACCTTCCTAGGCCTCTCAGCTCTGCCGTGGTATGCTGCTGAAAACACAGTCCGTGTTGGGGACGTGGAGAGCTGGGACCAAAGATGGCGTCCCCTCCAAACTTCCACTACTTTGGATTCTCATCAAGCTACTTTTTATCTGTTCGATGCTGCGGCGCGCGTGGCCACTCGCTCGCGCAGATTGGGAAGCTAACCGCCCGGCGTGCCTTATTTTTTACATTTACACAGGAACGCTGACCGCCAGTGAGTGAAAATGGGAATTATTTCGGTTTTTCAGGGCACAAACCTCCACACACCTCAGCAGAGCGTCCGGGGCCACCTCTCTCTCTCTCTCTGTCTTTGAAACGTCACGCAGCGCGTGTGCAAAAATTCTTCTTATCGCGAGGATGATTCAAGCTTTCTGAACGTGCGTGACACCATGAAAAATCCCGACTAATTACTTTATTTATAAGTGACAAACAACAGCAACTTAGTATACTGATAAACTCATAATCACAAGCATCATAATGGAGAAAACTGTCAAATAATCAATATTTTATAATCAGTTTAAAAACCCTATATATATATATAGGGTTTTTAAACTGAT